GTTACAGAATACATTTTGGGGCATGTAATCTGTAATCTGTAATGGAATACATTTTAAAAGTAACCTTCCCAACACTGAAAGTGTAGATGGCAGAGGTCTGAATTAACTGTTTCATCATCAGAGACGTCTTTGTGTTGCCTTGTCTGCTAACTGTGTAGAGCTGTTTTTTCTTTGTACATAGTCAAGCAGATAAGACTGCTTTTTTTTTTTCAGAACAGAAAATAACTGTTCAAAAGCTATGCCCAGTTTTTCTGGTAAATTATCTCCTAAAAACCATGCAAATAAAATGTGCATGTGGCCACCTAACCAGCATCGTACCTGAATTGTTACTTAATCAAAAGCAATCAATACCAACCAATGGAAAACCTCACGTATATTAAGACAAGTCATAACAGACTGAAAACTTTCTTTGTAGTAAATGTTTGTTAACAGACTTAACAATACAGTGCTCAGCTGAAAAAAAACTGGATTTCACCATCCAGGACAGGACAAAGGAGTGGCTGAGGCTTAAATACACAGAATGGTTATTGGGGCAAAACAAAAACAGATGAAATTTATGAAGGACAACGACACAGGGGATGTTAATCTAAACACTGAGCCCTAAAGACAAAGGACTAACAAAATAAAACAGGAAATAACTAAACACGGAAACAACTAACACAAACTAATTCTTGATATACAGAACAGAGGAGGTGTCACTACAACCCCCAGTGGCCCCCTCTGGCAAGACTTTCCTATGTTGGTAATATTGTAATAAGGTTGCATAAAACTGGTGCATCTCAGGGCCAACAAGGAACAGGAAATAGTTCACACTCTTATATGATCTAATACTTATTTGTCTGAATCTTAAGTGAATCTTAAGCTGCTTCTACTCAGCTCTGCAGAGAATCATTATTTGCTTTTCATATGTACCTATTTTCAGTGATATCAACTTTAATAGCAGGAAATTGACTAGGCGTGTAATTATTTTCTTTCTCTTCTTTTCACTATATTTCTCAAGTCAATTTCCTGGAGGAACCCGAGGGATAAATAAAGTTTCATCGAATCTAAGTAACCTATATTTGACAACAGGATGTAATATTCACAATTGTAAGTCAGAGAGCTGAAAATAAAACCACAAAAGATGAGATACAAAACTTTATTTCACAACTAACACTTTAAGAGGAGGATTTTAGACAAAGACTGAGGGAGGGTGACCTATGTTCCCGAGGGAGGATTAATCTGTCCACACCATTACAAAGTACACCATACTTAACAGGGGATCTATACACTGCAAATGACCACATGTAAATTAATGACACGGCACTCCATAAAACTAAGATGGGACCCGTAATTACAACTCCCCGCCTAGCTTGGGAGGCACTGCATCTACTGCTCCGATAACCACTGGGACCACTGTTACCTTCACCTTCCACATCTTCTCAAGCTCTTCTTTGAGCCCTTGGTACTTCTTGTGTTCCTGTCGCTCAGTATCGCTACATCGATCATTGTAGCGTCTTCTTCCACTTGTCCACCACCACTATATCCTGTTGGTTAGCTGACATCACCAGACAGGTGATGTTCGTTAGCCACCATTTTGTTCAGTTCACTAGCCACTGAGCATTGCTGTTATGCATTGTGTCCTTCTGCTCAATCTCCAGCCTTGGTGGTGCCGTTCTGGCTGCCCAGCCAGGGCAAGCCGCTGTCCTCTGCCCTAGCTGGTGATGTCAGCAAGCCACTGTCTTCTGGACTTACTGGTGATGTCAGCCACCTGCTGTCCTCTGCCCTGGCTCGTGATGTCATTGTGATGTCATTTTGCCACAGAATAATAGTATGTCAGTAGTTAGTGCAAAGGTGGTCAACTCTAGGCTGCGAGGGCCGGTGTCCTGCAGGTTTTAGATGTGTTTTTGATCCAACACACCTGATGGCTAAATGACCTCCTCAACATGTATTGTAGTTCTCCAGAGGCCTTCTTCTTCTTCTTCTTCTTTCTTACATTTGTATTGGCGGTTGGCAAACAATTGAAAGGTGCATTACCGCCACCAACAAGTATGGTCTGGAACAACGCTCAAAAAATAAATAAATAAATAAAAATTCCTCAAATCCTTCCAAACAAGTTCCCCTCTTTTAAAAACTGAAAGAAGGGATGATAACTTTTACTTCCCGATTCCTTTCGCAACAAATCAACAAGATCTAGTTCGAGTTTTAGGTCACTGAGATTTTGAATCAATTGTCTCCTCTCAACCTGACACCTCTGACACTGCAACATGACATGTTCTACAGTTTCCTCTACCCCACAGTAATCACTATGTTTCCCTATCATGAATAATGTATTATTCAAGCCAGTATGTCCAAATCTCAGTCTGGATGTGATCACCTCCTCCCTCCTAGTCCGTCCTGCATTTCTCATTCCTCCCACCCTCCTTTGAATCTCATACAACCATCGTCCCTTCCTTTCCTCCTCCCACTGCTTTTGCCATCTTGCTCTCATATCTAGCCTTACCATACTCCTTGTCTCTGCTTGGCCAAAACTTACAGCCATGTCAACCACCCCATGTTTTACGGCCTCCTTTGCAACTCTATCTGCCTTTTCATTCGCCCATACGCCATAGTGTGCTGGCACCCACAAAAACACGACTGCAAGTCCCATCATGCGTATCCGGAAAAATGATCTGCTCTACTGTCTGAGTGACTATGCTGTAGACTGACCAATGATGAACTTGAATCTGAGAAATGACAGCATGTAATGGTCTCGCGTCCTCCACCCACTGAACAGCTAATAATATTGCGATCATTTCCCCAGTGTACACAGAAAGCCATCACTAATCCTTTTACCTATTTCCACCGAAAACTCTGGGACCACAACTGCAACACCAGTTTGACCTGTTGTGTTCTTTGAGGCGTCTGTATATATTTGAACATAACTATAATATTGGTCAATGTAAACCTGCACCGTTCTCCAGAGGCTGGTAATGAACTACTCGTTTGATTCAGGTGTGTTGACCCAGGGTGAGATCTAAAACCTGCAGACACCGGCCCTCAAGGCCTGGAGTTGCCCACCCCTGGGTTAGTGCGTGCCAACTGGATAGAGCATTCTGATTGGCCCGCTAAATTCAAGCTTATTGTTCATTGGTGGATTTCTCTTCTGCACACAGGTAGTTCAGGGCAGCAGGAGTCACTTGATGACTTTTAGAATCATCTTTTCTGACATTTCAGTCATTCAGTGATTCAAATAATATGAACTTTTAATATTCATTCAGGTGTTTTCTGACTCTAATATTTCTTTTGTCATTTCTCAGCTTTTTCTAATTTACATTTTAAACATGTTCAGGTACTTTTCAATTTCTTCTTTGTGATTGTCAGCTCTCAACAGTTCTGCACTTTTGTTTTCAGGTGAAAAATTCTGCATTATTCAGCTCATTCAACATTTTTAACTGAACATTCAGCAGTTATTTCGTTTCAGCTCAAAACATTCAGCTATCAGCCTTCACACTGCAGTTTCTTCAGAAAATGTATTTTCTAGTTTTTTCATTGATTTGTTGTGGTGTGTTTAGTTGCCTTGCACAGCACGCCAAAGTTGTGTTTTTAAATCGTGCTCTATTTGGATTGGGTTACACATTTAAAAAATGTGCAACCAAAAACTGTTTTTGTTCAGCTTTAGTACAATAAAAATAAGATATAACACAAACACAAAATGAAGGAGAGATGACAAAAACAATGGGAGAAAGAAAGGACAGGAGGAGAAAAAAAACAATCATCACATCTCAGATTTCAGCACACTAGCTAAACTATTCATTTTAGGGAAATGTGAGCATTGATGAGACAATAGAGAATGTTATATTACACTGTATGAGGAAGAAGCAAGAAAACTGATTGAAAGCCTAAATGGATTTAATCTTAAACTAGATTTAATTGATTGACTTAGAAATAAATCAGGAAGCAAAAGTTATCAGGCCATATTTAATTATCTTAGACAAACGCATTTGTATGATGTATGCCATACTGCTGGCTCTAGAATGGGTGGAAGACAGCAGAGTCTCAAAAGTACTGATATGCAGTGATTCATTGTTGGCGTTATTAAGTATTGAACAAGGATACACAACTACCCATCAGCAAA